AAATTTACAATTTAAGTCTCTAAATTTAGCGGGACACTTTTTCCGCTAAGTTTAGTGGGAAAATGTTTCCGCTGAATTAAGCGGGTGAATTGTCCCCGAAACTTTAGAGGGTAAATTTTTCCGCGAAACTTATACAAATTTTGTATATGTGTGAACTGGAGTATTGAAAACAAGGTTTCCGTATGAGATAGAAAATGAACGTTTGCAATAAAACGCAAAGCTTTTTGTGAAGTAATAATATTTTTTTACGATTTGTTTGTATGGTGGTGCCCCAGACAAAATAGTAATAAGATATGTAAGATTTAAATAAGGCGTGATATAGTTGCAGCACAGGATTAACGAAATTTCGGTGTGCGATAAATCGTTTCCGGAAATATTATTTGTAATCGCGAATTCGGGGTGGCACAATGAGAGTGGGGCGACCAAACGAAAATTCCCCTTTCTAAAGCCCTTCTATCCTGGGAAAGTGGCACCATTCATTGCTGTAGAAATGCTCAAGGCACGTGCCGCGTGCCACTACTGGGAAATTCATTGCGTCTGAAATCTAGCGCAGTGCTGCGCTGTGCCGCCATGATCTTCCCAAGGGTTGAACGTTGCACATGCCTCGTGCATCGAAGCGCCTTGCGCTACTTTTGAAACATGAAGTGACTTTACCCCTTCCGGGAAAGTAGCGCACCTAGCGACAGCTAACGACCCTGTACCGAACTTTGGCCGACGTTTCGTGCTTATTGAAAGATTCTGACAACATCTATAACCTTTTTTAGATTGTACGGACGCGTACAACTTGTTTTCTTTTAGGGATTTGGGGGGTGAAATTATTTAGGTGTTGGAACGCAACCGGCTGTGACATGATGATTAATTTTCGATCTCTGGTTGAGACCCAGGTTGAGACTCAGGTTGAGAAAACAATGAACCGGCCTCGGAACCAAGGGCAGTCTACTTGGACATTCCTACTCCGACAAACAATCAAAGCAATCAAATAAGCTACCTTCAAAACCTGTGATGCACCACCGGGAATGCATGTTGCTGGTGGTGGACATGAGTAAATAAACATAACAAAATGGACAATTGGGCGAGTTGGTAAGAGTTCATAATTACTTACAGCGCCAGGGCCACGGAGGGGCATGCCTGCACGAGCAGCAGCAGCATCAGATGTCTTTTCTTTTCAATAGAATCAGTTGCTAGTTCAGCGCTTGTCCTGTGTTTCTGTGTTTCTCCTCTGTCTGTCCTTGTCCCAGTCGCGCTGTAAGTAATTATGAAATAAACATAAATATGAACATAAATTTCAGCGAAAATACAATTTATTTTTGTTGAAATGGGTACAAATCACTAATGCGCAAGATGGTAAACAATAATGATGGAAGGACCCCTAAAAATGATCGCTTTAAGTAGACAAATTGCTATTTTCATAGCCTAAATCCTCAACAAACAAGATTTTTTAATGTAGACGCACCATGCTGACGAAATAATACCAAAGCATATAATGTGTTATTGAACGTGGCCCAGATAAATAAAAGCTAGAAGTTGGTGGAGAGTTCTGGAGAGAAAACACGCTCACGCAAATAATATGCGGGGAAAAGGCATAATTTTCGTTTAATTTTGCTTCTATTAGTCCAGGAAGAAATACTGGATGGGCTATTTTTCGTTCTGAAAATTGTACTCGAATAATCGCAATCCTAAAAAGATTGTGGTAGGGACAAACCATCTTAATACTGTAACGTCTTAACGTCGCTTTGTCATCTGTGACGAATGACAGATGGTGAGGCGACGAATGGACAGAAACTAAACATTTAATTTGGCGAACCTTGTGTCGAAAACAAAAATACAAAGAGATAGCGTCCGAGACGTCGAAGGTCTTCGGAGGAGCACGATCGAGCGTGGTAACGAGACTCACTCCGGACCGCCACGCGGAGAATTTTTTTAGGGGCGAAGCTCCTTAAGGGGTATTCACACGAGGGAGAAATCCCGGGGATTTCTCCCCGGCACGCGCATCCCGCGACGAAAACGTCAGGCTTTTCGGTGTGCAAAAGCCTCGCGTTTTCGTCTCGTGATGCGCCCGTGCCGGGGAGAAATCCTCGGGATTTCTCCATCGTGTGAATACCCAGTCTAGCGTTGTCCGTCCGGCGTCCGTGCTCACATCGATCTTGCTGGTGCTCGTGCTCGTAATCAGGCTCGTGAGCTCACGTGCTAACGTGCTCACAAGCACGTGAGCACGTGCTCACGTGCTCGTGTAGGGCAAAAAGAAATAAAAAAAATGTTTGGTGCAGGGAGACCCTAATGGATTTCTAGTCCATCGCCTTAACCACTCGGCCACGACTGCGGAACGAGTAGGGGGCTCTGAGATGTGGTAGTAACTCAAGAGCTGGGGTTTCTGTCATCGATAAAACGTTGCATGTAGCCGCTCAACGTCTATAAATGAGAGGGCGCTGCGGTCAAATGCGTATGTAATCGCGTTAAACTTTGCTGGCATTGGCTCAACGTTTATAGACGAGAGGGCCCTGCGGTCAAATGCTAAATATACGTATATAACCACGTTCCATACCACACATTCTCTTTCTGACATGGATGAAAACGAACGAAAGGCTCGGCATGCTGCGGCTCAGCGTCTACGCAGACAAGCACCACCAGATCTTCGCCCCAATCTACATCATTCACCACGTGCAGATGCGGTCATTTTTTACCGACGTGTTACGCCGAAAGTTTGGAACATTCGGCATAGCACGTTCGGCGCGTAGAGCATTCGTAGCTTGATCAGACGACAAGGCTCTCAAACTTACGAGAACGTCAAGTTGAAAGACTCAATAGAAGATGAGTCCGCTCCCTGGAATCGAACCTGGAGCCTCCACGCGAAAGCCAAGCACGCACCCCCTTTGCGACGCGCTGGGCAATATGCGGGAAAACGACAATTTTCGTTCAGTCGGGCTTCTATTAGTCCAGCAAAATATACTGATTGGGCTATTTTCTGCTCTGAAAACTGTACTCGAATAATCGCAATACTAAAAAGATTTAGGGAACAAACCATCTTAATGCCGTAACAAAACGCAAGTGTTTTTCTCATTGTTAAATTTAATCGAACAAAAGCCAGTCATCTTTTTGAAACATGAGAATACAAACGAAACCCTCAGGCTGTCAAAAGAAATGCTATTGCATTTAAAAGTCGGTGTGTTCACTTTACCGCAGAACACAAAGGCAGGCAACCACGGCGACCAATAGGAGAATCCTAGCGAGTGTATGTTTACGAAGACACGATGGATATGCATTTATTCGGGAAGGAAACAATCACGCACACCCGATCTCCTCTTTATTCCTTGTGTATGCAATAATTGCATTGAAATCTTGGTTTGACCCAACATGGTCGAATCGAGTAAATGTAGCCATAAAAAGTCAATCCCAATCTAACAAACGAGATCTGTAAACTACGACACGTTCTGGCCGAGAAAAGCTTTTTTGTTCCGTAGTACAATGATGTCCTACTTGTTCAATATCGCAATGCAGAGCACAGTTTTGGGGCCAGATTATTTTTTGAACCAGAATATTATCTGGATTTGTGCAATCGAGAGACAAATCGACTTTGTATGAAAACGTGAAATTTTACGTGAAATTTCACTTTTCAAAAATCACGAACATAAAACTTTACGTTTTTTTCTTTGACGATAGATTATTGCAAAATTATGGCTTTTTTCGGAATCCTACTCGAGTCAATTCGAGTTACTTTATCTGGTCATATTGCACGGTAACAGGATGAAGCGATGCTGGAAGCGAAATAGGTTTTCGAACGCCCAAATACGAAACCTTCACTTTAAAGGAGCGATGAAACAATTTTTGTACTTTGCGCAAATACCGCTTAAAACGGATTCCTGACATTAATGACCTATGAAACACGCGTTCGTTTTTCACCCCACGCAATAGAAGTCCCAGAAAAAAAATTAAAGAAAAACGAGCAGCGTTCACCCCCTCAACTCGCAGCCAGAACAAGCGGCCACGTGATCTGGAGCCGATTATATGCCGCCAGTGTTGATCATAGCCACGCGCTGGGGTTGGCAAGGCACAGGACACGCGCTGAGTTCCAGACATTGTTATGGCTCGGCTGTTGTCGTTGTTGCAGCGATTGGACACGGGTCACAACCCGAATGCTTCTCGAGCTAGCAATTATCACGAGCCCAAGTCGAGTGCTCACACAATGCTCGGGTCCAATCTATGAACCGCATTCATATATCGTCACTTGGGTGTACTGCGATCCCCACGTTACGTCATCAAATTTTGCAAAGGAGAGCTTCAATGAAAATGATCGCTTTTGACCTTGAAATTACACCGCAACAAAGGCGTTTCTTGGCAAGCGGCGTTGCGTGTGAGTATCCTTGAGTCCCACTAGTGCCAGTAAGCTCGTGTCAAGTGAGAAACATTCCAATTGAATATCGTTGCACCGCTCCTTTAAAGTCTGGACAGTATAAGATCAAATAAATTTTGAAACAGGGCCTTGTTTGCGAACAACGCGTTGGCGGAGGAAATTGCAAACTGCACCTTGTTTCGCTTAAGTCAGACATCAGTCGGCTCTACGATCCCGATGCGAAGCGCACATTCGTCTGCTTTTTTTTTTTTTTTCAGAGGTTGTGGTTACGTCAAAATGACGAGCTCTGATTGGCTGCGATTTTTTTTTTCATAGGTTGTGGTTACATCCAAATGACGAGCTCTGATTGGCTGCGATTAAAAGGATACTGGGTAGACCTCAAGGCAGCTTGCTTTGGGGTCTACCCACTATCACTGCATCAGAGCCAATCAAAGCTCGGCGTTCTGACAGGCAGGCGAGCTTGCGCTCCGCAGACCCACGAGGGAAACGAGCGACGTAACGATGCGCCTTAGGCGCTGCATGATCGGCGCCATCAGACCGTGATGTCGGCGGCGATTGCACACGTAATGATTTAGGGGAAGTCGCCTAGAAGGCGTAAGTTACGCTCCGTCTCAGACGGAAGCCAATTCATTTCTTGCATGCATTTGTGCAGATGCCACGGTGACCATCCTGATGCTGCTCAACAGCCTCAACAGCTGCGTGAATCCCTGGATCTACCTCCTCTTCAACCGCAGCCTGGTCAATGCCCTAAGGTACCAGGTGTGCAGATGCCCGGACAAGACCGGCAGCGCCGGTCCTTCCGGCGGGATCGTGCCCGAGCTCACCACGCAGAACACGGAGGCCAACGTGCCCTTCAGCCGGCAGAGCTCCAGGGCCGAGCTCACTCTCCACAAGACGTCCGTGGCTTTTTCCAAGAGACCTGACAAGGCGTCAGAGCCTCCGCTTTCGAACAAACTGCCTCGAAGGGGCGTCCCGGAGACGATCGCAATGAGCTCCAACGAACATGTGATTGGGTGGAGCAAGAAACGAATGTTTGGTGGCAGGAAAAAGTGTTCCTTCGAAGGCTTAATTTCGTCCTGATGAGCGGTGCGGTGAACGTAGACACGGGAATGACTTGCAATGGACGGACAAACCAGGAACTCGTGAGCTCTACCAACACCTCCCAGGTGGCAAGGCCGTAGTGCTGAGTTTCGAAAGTCACCTATCGGAGTCGGGATCTAAATTGGACAAGGGAGCTGCCTAAGCGTTTGGCTGAAACTCACGTTCAGTCAGTGTCTAGATAAAGAATGGGCCCCGCCCGCGGGGGACCTGAATGCTGGTACCTGCTCGAGCAGCGCAGCCGGGGATTTTGAGTTGGGATCCAAATTGGACACGGGAGTCCGCTGTTCGCTGCGCACGCTCGGAACTAGCTCATACTTATAAAATACCTAGAGCGGTAGTCTTGATGTTGTAAAATGCACGTTACAAAAGTACCGTCAGAGCTCGTCTTCAAGCATGTGCTCAGCAGCCCGGGACCACGGTGTATTCCGGGAGTCAGCTATTACCCCCGGTAACTACTCAAGGAGCAAAACTTGCTTTTTTTTCTTCTTGAGGTGACAACGAGTGCAGGAGGTGTTGGCTCTATGGAGTCTTTCGGTCCGCGACGTGCACAATATCGGCGAGCCATAAGAGTCGCTCCGTGAAGAAACAAAGGTGAGGTTTCACTGGGAGGGTCATTTACTTGTCGTAATGTCATGCTAAGTTGTAAGCACATTGAAAGTTTGCTATAGTGGAGGGACAGCGAGAAAGCATGAAGGCTCGTTGGTTGAATCGAAAACTGGGCAGATGTTATGTCTTTATTGGCAAGCTTTATTTTTGCCCTTTTACTGGCTCGGCCTGTGACGTAGGTAAGCTAGGTTAGTAAACGGCAAATTGCAATGTGATTTTACGAAATGTAGCTTACGATCCAAACCAAATTCTTTATAGGGAAGTTTTCTTTTTTGTTCGATTAACGATTGAATATTTTATATTATAAACAAGTCCTGCGAATCAAACCTCGTCAAATAAATTAAATGTAGATTTCGTTTTTAATCAAGGCGACGCCAAGCCATGAATGCTCAAACTACGCTTTGCTTCCGGAAGGGGAGTTACGCTGTTTCTCCTGACTCTTCCGCGTCCCATCTGAATCACGGAGAGGTAACAGAACTCCCCTTCCGTACGTCGACCCTAGTTCGAGTTTTCGCCGTTCTACATGCGGCGAAAACGTGCGCACATCTCTACATAAAAAAAAGGTATTTATGTCTCTGTAGGCACCACTCCTAGTTAGATCAAATTTGGAGCTACGTGAGAATATTTGTATAAGCCCTCGAATCATGAACGGAGATTTCGTTGTAACCGCATTGCTCAAAGTCTAGATCCTCCCTAACTACACGGGTTGGAAATTGCTACGGTCGACTGCAATGAGAAGATTATTCATACTTCACTCACTCAGTGCAATTTTGTTGTGCTTATCACCCAGGCAAAACAGTGCCAAGCCACTGGGCTACGGACGTATGCACAGCGACTGAGCGTACCCGGAACGTGTTCCACAGCCTAGCAGAAAAAGATATCAGCGCACAGAAAGGGATTACTATAGAGTGGTCTACAGGCTTCCTGTATAAGATCTTATCCACGGCGGCCACTATGCCACCGCTGACTCATAGGGCGAATTCGAAAGCCCGCTCATTCGTGCTCAAATTTCCACAAACAACCAATCGCAAAACAATCTCGACCTAACACGCGAATGCCACATGCTTCGGATGATCCATACTAAAGTTTCTCAGCATGCCGGCTAACAAGCAATTACCCATCGTCCAGTCCACTTCCAGCACGACGCTTCTCGGGGATTGGAATCAGCCTATTTACGCTGTGAGCGTATGCGGCAAGTGATGATACTTACGCATCGTCTCACCCATATATGTGATGACTGTCAGCCTATAAGTATGGGCCAACGCACCTTTTTACAGACAAGTCTGCGTTTGTCCACACCAGTCGTGGTCACTGTTCATGTGCACAAACCAAATTCGCGCGAGGTGCGTGTGCGCCACGCCGACGGCAGCGCCACCACAGCGGCCTGACGTCAGAGACGCGTGTTGTTCTGCTCTATGCGGATAGAAACTGGAAGAGAGGAGGAGATGAGACTGTTCGTGACGTCAAAGTGCAAAACCTGGTGTTTGAACGCATCCTGCCTGAAGAGCATCCTGCCTGAAGAGGCAGGATGCTCTTCACGCATCCTGCCTCTGATGTCACCGCGCGTTCTCACCTCCTCCTCTTCCTTCGTTGAGGAGCTTTCCGTAGAGGACCAAGAAAGGACGGTGCTGCTATCCCGAGTGCATTTTGAGGGTGCTGACTGCGTCGAAGGTGTCGGCGAGCCAGGTGCTTTGTGCATGTTTCGTCATTGGAGTTTGGACACTATTTGATACCTCTCATCTCTAAGAGGAAGTGTGTTCGTGAGCGCATGTTACTGAGCTGGTGGCAGGCGCATGTTTTTGGGCAGGTTTCAGGTGTCTGAAGAAATGCTGAGCATACGTTTAAGTGCATAGTTAAATGAAAGAAACGAACTGTGGGTGAGTATTTTAAGAAGCGCAAAAAGGGTACGCATTTTGCAACATGTGAAATCATGTTCACATATCACTGGGTTATGTTGTTTTTGTTATTTCCAGTCAATAAAAATGATAATTGCCATTTAGTTGTTAGCAGTGTAAACTTTTTCGGGGCTCGTTACCTGTCATGATTCCAGGTAACGTAAGCCCAACAATTTTCTGAGCTTGCCTAAAACCGATTTTTGATACCATACAAAAAGGGGGTTCGATATAAAAAAATCTCCACCCTTTAACGTGTGACGGAGAAAAAACAAGGAGAAAAAAACCTGGAGACATTGAGGAAGATCATTATATTTATTTGTGGTGCCATTAGTGTAGCTTTTATACACATAGTTATTAGCTACGCGTACTACGTACTACGCGCTCGAAATATGCTTTCTCGGGTTACCACTAAAACAATAATTAATTAAATGGGGTTAAAGTGTGGGATTTAGTGCTTATTCTTATTATTTGCTCGCGAACAAATTTGTGTAGGAGAAAACTGAAACTTCATAATTATAGTCTTCTCAATACACATACAATCTACCAAGCACCTCACGCTCATGTAACTGGGTACGCAAATGATTGTACGGCTATTGTGAACTATCTACGCAGGTGTTTTATAACGATTATATTTGAACTTAAGCCAGCAAGTAGCACACAACCTTCAAGTTACGGCTGAAGTGAAAGAAGCCTGCCATAAAAGCACAATAAAAGCAATCAGTGGGGCAATATGCCTCCTCCAAGCAAACTGGTGTCCCGTCAGTGACAATGACCTCTGTTTACCAGACGAGAGGATTGTATCATCAGCGTCGGTAACATTGGCGTTAGAACGCCTGGTTTGGGTGTCCCATGTGCTGTAAGCGAGCCTTTGCCGAAGTGTCCTGCTATGAACTAGCAAAAGCGACATCTTCAAAAACTTCAGAAGGAGAGGAGTTTTTCCTGGTGTTCACTGAGAGCCCCGGTGGAACCAGTGTCCTGAGACATTCAATTGACACCTCGAAAACACGGCCTCTACGATGCAAGCCTTGACCGATCAGCGTACGCAAGCGAGCTCTGCTGGACAACGCTCTACGAGAGATGATCAGCGCAGGTGCAGTTAGTCACGTAGCCCCAGGGCCTTCCCGATCGTCGTTGCCCCCAAAGCGAATGGAACGGGTGGGCTTCGCGTTGACTGTCGCCGCCTGAATGTGGTAACCGCTCCTGATGCACACCCGCCCTTTGCTTGAGTCGATCATGTGGAATTTGGGGAGCGCGAGCTTTTTCCACTGCCCTTGACTGCAGTCGCGGTTCAATCGATATAGAGATCGAACCCGCTGACATTGTGAAAATAACATTCACAAGCTACAAAGGCTTGTAAGGTCCCTACAAACAGTTACGTTTGACTGCGTTGCGGCTGCGTTGCGGCTGCCAGAAACCAGGACATCCCTGCTTCCTATGTTGCGTGCCGAGCTACTTCTTGAACTGGATTCCACGCTTCATACGCAGAAATGTTTCGGTTACTCGCTTCCGTTGCTCGACTCAGCGCAGTCGAACGCACTCAAACGCAAATTTCTGTATCTGGCTTAAGGGGGTCGTGAAACCCCTTTAAGGCAGATACTTGTTGGAATGTTCATGATTTTGCAGAGGCGTACGTCTTAGTCTGGCCAAAGTATACTCTCGCAGACCGCCAAATATTCAGAAGCTTCTTTGTCGTGGTGAAATTTTGATAAAAAGAGACTCTTTCTTTCTGTCTTGCCTTTGCAAAGCTTGATGACATCATTGTAGGATCGAAACCACCCACCTGGCGAGAGTCAAGCACGGCTCATGGATTGAACACGAGAACTGCGTGAACACTCAACTTCTGCTCGTAACAATCAATTCCTATGCAGACACTCGGGTAATGCCAACCACTGCGGTGATGGGAATAGCCGAACTCCAACAATGTCTACAACTCCAGCATGCATTTTCTACTTTGTGAACAACGGCGCGTGGGTATAATTAAGGTTGGCAGCATATGATAGGCACCAGGCTACGTGACCGCTTGTTCTGGCTCCGAGTTGAGTGGCGAGCGATGCTCATATTTCTTGAATTTGTTTTGGCGACTGTCATTGCCTATAGAAAGAAAAACTAAGGCAAGTATATTCAGTTATTAACGCAAAGGTAGCTACTTTATGTAGTATTTAACGAAAGTAGAACACTAGTTTCATGGCTTGTTTAAGAGCTTTTGTGCAAGTTTTTTGGCTTGAGGAAGTCTCTGCCACGTTCCAACGTCTTATTTACATCGTGCTTGGAGACGCACGGCATAACTACGCCATGGAATATATGGATGACGTGGCAGTCTTCTCATGCTCGTTTCATGAGCATTTTGAGCACCTTTGAACTATTCTCGAGCTCATGCGGGATGCTTGTTTGACTGTTCATCTAGGCAAAATGCAACTGTCAACTTCTAAGATTGAAGGGACCATCAAATTATTTTTCAACGTACTCCTCCTTATCTTTCCTCCTCAACTCAAAAGCAAAATGAAAAATCACGTGGTCTTGAAGTACTTGGGAATTGGTACGGCAACTCCAAGCTTTCACCGTCCTTCTTAAGCACACCATGGAACTCTACCTTCACCAGCGATGATAAGTGCCGTCACAGCAATCATTGGCCAGAGACGCGAGTTCAAATATTCGTTGACGGATTGATTGTTGACGAGCGCATACGTCCGAGTGATGCAGTGCTCGTGTCCAACGTGGCTGTTTCGGTCGGCTGGGGGAACTTCCGTTTCTGGTATAAAGGCATACTTTACATCACGAGCCCCGTGATTTTAAATGTTAGTGGCCGAGTCCGGTCGA